TGGGATTGCAGGCGTGAGCCACTGCTGGGATTGCAGGCATGAGCCACTGTTGGGATTGCAGGTGTGAGCGACTGTTGGGATTGCAGGCGTGAGACACTGTGGGAATTACAGGCGTGAGACACTGTGGGGATTGCAGGCGTGAGCCACTGTGCCCAGCTGACATGTGATTTTCACCCAGTGAGTTCACTCGTAAGAATTTATCCAAGGGAAATGCGTGCACTTGTCCACATGTTCTCTGAGGAAGGAACACTGGAGCTGAGACCCGAAGGAGGGAAAGGAGGAACTCTGAAAAGGGTTAGAGGAAGAGCATTACAGGAAGTTGGGGCATAGGGAGGGTCCCCGGGGGCTTGGCCTTCTGAGATTCTGAAAAGGCAACCTGATATAACGCGAAAGGGATGGGCCTAGGACCCAGGAACCTGTCAGTCCTGCCTCTTCCAGTCACTTGCTGTGCAACCCCCACAAGTTCCTCACCCTCTCTGAACACAGAGAACCTCTGACAAAACAACCTCTAGGAGCTGTTCCAGCTGTGACAATCCAGGGGCATTTGACAGGACAATTGCAAAGCACAGACCACGCTCTCTAAAGGTTTTGAGACCAAAATGACAAATGACCGAGGGACCAAGTCCACCCAGGCAGTGTTCTGGACAAAACACATTGCATCTGAGGCCAAAGGGGATGAGAGCTGAGGCTCCAAGGCTCTGACAGCCTTTGCTGCTGCAAAATGAAGATGTTCTCCTGTCTCCCTTCCCGTCTGCAGGAACGAAACAGGGTGGCAAAGTCCCAGAGCATTCCACTCAGCTGTCGGCAGCCCTGCGACTGGCTGCAGCCTCAGAAATAAATGGTCCCGTCAGCTGCTGGGGAGGGTGAGCTCAGGATTTCAGATGAAAATGAAGTAAGAGGGAACGCAGCCCAGAAGCAATGCAAAGTAACGGCAAGGGGACGAAAAATCTTCCACTGCAGCAAGACGGACGCTGGAATGGTGCAATGGGACGCTGACCTCAGATCCGGGGACACTGGGGAATGAGCTCATCCTGGGGGACCTGGCTGGTGGGCCCTGTGCTTCTGGGATCCAGGGGCTGTCTGAGGGGACCTGGTCCCGGCTGGCAGGACTACTGCTTTCTTGTCTTCCCCACCCCCACCCTGCCCTCCTCTTGCGAAAGCTGTATACTTCTGCGTGTGTCCAGATCAAACAGCCTACAATAATAGACCTGAGGGGCTGGCTAGCTTCAACCCCCTGCTAAAGAAGAAAGCCTCAAGCCTGACAGATTCCTGCAGGAGGGAGACAAATTACAATCCCAAGAGAAGGGACAACACAGCCATAGCACCCTGATCTGGGGGAGGAAAGATGACAACAATAACAAAATCCAGCTTCTACCAGCACCTCGGATCCTGCTATAAAATCCAGCTTCAGGGTCTTTCTGTGTGTGTTGCCGTCACAGTCTCTTGTGTTCTGGCTGTGTAATCCGGAGCAAGTTATTCACCTGTGTCTCATTTCCTCCATCCCAGAAATGGAAAATCATGTTATCCACTATGGGGGTTATTGTGAGAACAAAATATAAAAACTTTAGAACAGTATCTGGCACATGCTGTAAAGAAGTTAGATTCATTTTGGTTTTTATAACTGTATTATTCTGTATTCACCTGAAATATAGCTCTACCTGTACACAGAACCCACATCACATCAGCCAAGTTCAAACACCCATCTGAGTTCATGGATACTAAGTATCTATGGACCGGATTCATAGTAAGCACCCTCCTGCCTGACTCTCCCCAACCCCCACCCACTCAACAGTCTTGGGCGCTCACACACCCCCTTTTCCACGCCCACCCTCCCTTTGGGCTATCTAAGCATCCGCCAGTGTGCAGTGCTCTGATGAGCTGTCTCTCTTCTTAAGAAAGAGAAAAGTTGAACCAGGACTTAAAATCTCAGATGCCTACGGAGACCAGACAGGTAGACAGGTAAAGGGTTCTAGACATTAAGGAGTGGTGAGGACTGTGACAAACTGGAGAACCCATGTCCCAGCTAAAGGAAAATGTTGCTACCAGCTCTAGCCAATTTTTGCCAGGCAGGAATGCAGGTTCAGAATTGGCACATCTTCTAAGTTTTCAAGGGAAGCCAGAAATCTGGATTTGTATGTGAAAATCTCCTAATTTTCAAATATTGGCACATACATCATTATTTTTAAAACGTGGACGTCCTGGGAAGATACATCAGTTTGCACCCTCTGACTAGAGGGGAATGAGCCCTCCAGCTATTACCAACTATCAGGCAGTGCCCTCTCCCTGCAAGAACCAGAATCTTGTGGCTGGACTGAAGCACCAAGGAACTCTAGACAGATCTTAATTAAGTGCCAGGGAGAGCGCCTATTAGTTGATAAAGGCTTAAGAGAAGGGTAGGGGGAAGGGTCCCCTGAGGGCTGGAGCAGTGGAGGAAAGCTGAACGCAGGAGGTGGACTTGGAAATGGGCTTTGAAAGTTGCCAGGACGAGGAAAAACTGAGGAGCAAACCACAGCCCAGAGGAGGGATGGAGGGAGATGGGGTTAGAGAGAACTGGAAGCTTTAACTCAGAGCTTCGTCCCTTCCAGTGTGGAGCCAAAATGTAACACTGCAGCACTCTCTTGAGGAGGATTATATTAGGAAGGTGCTGTGCACTGCTGGGGCTGATGGCATCTGGAGACAGCACCAAGGATTCAGGCTTCCTCCCAGGACAGAAGATGGTGCACAGTTCCCTCGAAGTGGCCACATCCTCCCTGGAAGTCCTCCACCACTGCAGGCTTCTCCCGGCACCCGGACTGCTCATGGGCACTCTCCTGCAGTGGAAGGTGAGCTCCTCCAGGGCTGCAAACGTGTCTTTTGCATCCCAAGTGCTTACTCAGTGCTTGGCATATAGAAGGTCCTTAAACAATGTTTATCTAATGATCCAGGGAATGAAACCAAAAAACAAAAAATCGGCACATCAAAGAATAAGGTACAGAAGCATATTTCCAAAACAGAAATTTCCTCCAGGACAGCAAAAAGGCATGAAGGCACTGACACTCATTACACACAGCTGCTGTGAAGATTCTGTGTTTACACAGAGGAACCCCTACAGTGTAGAGCCAAGAAAGAAACAGTGAGTGTGGCCAGGGTCAGCAAGGCCTCAAATGGCTCCAAAGCCCCCAAGAGACAGACACAATGCACCACCGGTCAGAGTTCTAGCAGATGTCTTAGATCATTCTGGAGTTAGGTATAACCCTTTCCCTGAATAGATAGTACAGCTGAGGCTCAGGGTGCAGGGGGATTCTGTGCCACCACACGGCTAGTCTAGTGACACAAGCTGGACCAGAAGCCAGGTCTCCTGATTCTCAGCCCAGGGTTCTTGCCAAAGAACCCTGGACTAGGAGCAGGGCTGGAGCTGGGATGAGGCAGGCAGGGTGCAAAATGTAAGAGGGAGCCAGATGTGGTGGCTCACACCTGTAATCCCAGCATTTTGGGAGGCTGAAGAGGGCAGATCACCTGAGGTCAGGAGTTTAAGACCAGCCTGGCCAACATGGTCAAACCCTGTCTCTACTAAAAATAGAAAAATTAGCCAGGTGAGGTGGCAGGGCGCCAGTAATCCCAGCTACTTGGGAGGCTGAGGCAGGAGAATCGCTTGAACCCGGGAGGCAGAGGTTGCAGTGAGCCGAGATTGTGCCACTGCACTTCAGCCTGGGTGACAAGAGCGAAACTCCATCTCAAGAAAAAAAAAAAGAAAGAAAAAAAAAAGAAGAAAAAAAAAGGAAAAAAAAAAAGTAAGGGGGTGCCCAAAAGCTCAGTCATCAAGATAAATAACATTTTGAAACAATGTTTTTAAAAATCAAAATTAGTCCACAAAAATCCACAAGAAGCAAAATATCACATTGTCAAAGAAAGACTTCAATGAAGCCACGCCCTTGCACACCTCAACCTCACCTCCTGCAACCTAACCCCAGCCCAGACCAGGAATCCCAAGGGCTGAGACCTGCAAGAAGTGCCTATATGGAAATCTGTGGGCAGGTGAAGGGATTTGGGGAATCAGAGGAACAGAAAGGGGAAGTGCCTGGGGCAGAGTGACTGTGGAGAGAGAGCAGGAGAACGCCCCCATCCCAATCCCTGCTTTGACTCAAAGACCAGCCTGTACCCCACAGACACCCAGTGGGATCCCCTGTCCGAAGAGCTAACTCCAAACCAAGAAAATCCCACCCCACCCACCACTCTCAACAGATTCCTCCCAACTCCAACCAAATCCAAGCCTTTTCACCTCAAGGAGGAGATGGGTTTTAAAAAAAAAAAAAAAAAAAAAAAAGACAGCTCTGGATAACTTTTCCTGCCCTGGAAAAAACAGCCCAGAACTTTATGGCTTACTGACAGCTGGTTATGAATGGGAAGGAAGGCATATTCTTAAACTGCTGACAGTAACTCCCTTTTAAGGTATTTCCTCAGGGCCAGCAATGTCACATTCTCCTCCTGCCCAAAAAATTAACAGCAGTTTTTATTTCAGTGACAAGCTTGGGCCTTTGGGTCAGGCAGTCCTGGGTTCGGATTTGACTCTGCCATTTACCGCGCAATCCTAGACCATCTGCCAAGATGAAAAGTCACCAACTCTTGCTTCCTGGGGCCTGGCAGTAACCGAGATGGCATGATGTGGGTAGAGGGGCACACCGCAGGGAGCAGAAGCCACTGCCCAGCGCCAGCACACTGCATGGGTAAAGGATGTTGGCCAGATCTCACAGTGTTTCAAAACAAAAAATTGTATGTGAAATCTCCCGGTTTTTAAAGGTCAGCAACTAATTTTCAATTAATTTTTAAAAATTTTAACTCAGTAGGGACAAATAGAACAGGTCTGCGTGCCAGAGTCCACCTCCTGGCCCAGTTATGCCTCTGATGTCTTCAAATCACCCAGCAACCACCTGGCACCTCGTAGGTGCCCAGCAAGCATTGACGGCTCCCATCTTCTCAGGAAGCTTCCACGGGCATCATCAACATCTCTTTCCACACAACAGCTTGGGGAAGGATGCTTTTCAAGAGGAAAATGAAGATATGAGGAGAAGAGTGAAAAATCTGGAAGGCTCTAAGGGAGGGAGGAACTGCAAAGAGGGAATTCCTTAAAAGGACTTAAAAGGATTTTATTGGACATTGTTTAGCACAGTGAGGGATAAGATCAGGCAGTAATTTAACTCCTGGGTAAAGCAAGCGAGTGTGTATGTTGCGGGTGGGCAGGACCGGGCGGAAGTCATTGTTCACACCGAAGGTCTCCACACAGTGTACCAGGTCTTCTGTCTGCAGGTCACTGTGAAATTTGACTCAGGTGTACAGTGTTCTAACAAGCCCAGCCCCATCTCTAGAGGTGGCCATTAGGTCCTAGGGATCCTACACAAGAAGAAGCTGGCTTGAGTCTCTCCCGGGACCTCATGAGGGCTCTGAGGTCAGACCCAGCTGGGTAGGGGTTCAAGTCTTCAATATCAGTGGTTCTCAAAGTGGGATCCCCAGACCTGATGCATGAGCATCAGCAGGGAACTCCTCAGAAGGGCCCTATGCCAGATCCACTGAATCAGCCACTCCAGGGTCGGGGCCAGTCGTCTGGGTTTTAACAAGCCCTCAGGGGAATTCAGATGCACGGTAAACTCTGAGAGCCCCTGCTCTGCATCCTCACCCTGTGATCATCAGTGAGGAGTCTGACTCTCTGAGACAGTCACATCTATTCCAGAAAACTGTCCTGAGTTCCCCCAGGAATCATTTCCAGGAATATTTTAGAAGCCTGCTCTGTATGTGCCTAGCAGAGTGGAGGCTGCTGGAGAAGGGAGAGACAGCACACAGTCCTGGCCTTGACGGAGCTTGATCCCCAGTGGGGACACAGATAATACGCAAGTAAAAAAGATAGAAACATGGCCAGGTGCAGTGGCTCACATCTGTAATCCCAGCACTTTGGGAGGCCGAGGTGGGTGGATGTCTTGAGCCTGGGAGTTCCAGACCAGCCTGTCTCTGCAAAAAAATATATTTTGTTTTAAATTAGTGATGCATGGTGGTGCGTGGTAGTCCCAGCTACTCGGAAGTCTGAGGCAGGAGGATGCCTAGAGCCCAGGAGTTAGAGGTTACAGTGAGCTATGATTGCACTACTGTACTCCAGCGCGTGACAGAGCCAGACCCTGTCTCAAAAACAAGATAGAGACAGCAATTTTCTGACTGTGAGCAGTGGCTCACCCCTGTAATTCCAGCATTTTGGGAGGCTGAGGCTGGCAGATCACTTGAGGTTGCAAGTTCAAAACTAGCCTGGCTAACATGGTGAAACTCCATCTTCACTAAAAATACAAAAATTAGCTGGGCATGGTGGTACACATCTGTCGTCCCAGCTACTCAGGAGGCTGAGGCAGGAGAATCACTTGAACCCAGGGGGATGGAGGTTGCAGTGAGCTGAGATCGTGCCCCTGCACTCCAGCCTGGGAGACACAGGGACACTATGTCTCAAAAAAAAAAAAAAAAAAAATTTCAGATGGGAAAGGAAGGCAGAAGCCTGATCCACCACAAGAGGAGTGTTTCTAAATATGTAATCCGGGGACCCTCTGACCATGAAAGCCCACCCCATCCCACTAGGGCCCCTCCCCTACACTGCTAGTTGGTCTCCTTGCTGTTTCTCAGACCTGCCTCCCTCTCTCCCACTTGAAGGCCAGTGACTTTGATGTTCTGTCCACCTAGAAAGCTCTCTTCCCATCTTGCGAGATGGGCTCCCTCTCTGGGCTCAAGGCTCCATGTAATCATCACCTCCACAGGAGCCCTCCCCCATAATTCGATCTAAAGCAGCCTGTCTGGCTTCATTCTGCAATCACGTATTTCAGCAGTTTCCCAGTTCTGCCAAGCCCCCAGTAGAAGGTGAGCTCTTGGAAACAGGTCCTTAGGCAGATTCTTGTCTGTCCAGGCCTCCACCTCCCCAGTAAGCCAGTGTTTTTATTCTTGTTTTAGAGGCTGGATCTAGCTCAGTCACTCAGGCTGGAATGCAGTGGTGCCATCATAGCGCACTATAACCTGGAACTCCTATGCTCCTCCTGCCTCAGCCTCCCAAGTAGCTGGGACTGCTGCGCAGGCTAGTGTGCCCTGCGCTCATTTCTTAGGGTTAACCCTAACCCACTTAATGAGCACCCACGACTCCCTAACCCGCGCCCCACTCTTAAGCAGAAGGCCTCAGGCTGGTAGGCAGCAGGGTTTCTTCATATCCTTTCTTGGTTCTCTGATGATGGGCAAAGGCAGTAGAGACAGAAAGGAAAAGAGGAACGGAGTGCAAGCCAAGTGACCCTAAGAGGCCAGCCCTGCCAGCAGCACAGATCCCTCCAACCCAATAGATCCCTCCAACCCAACCTCCAGCATCTGTGCAGCATCCTACCAACTCAGAGGCTAGGCGGCCACACTGGGCGCAAGACCCCAAGACCCCAGGACCTGGTCCAAGTGCCCTGCACCGGCCACGGGAATGGACGACGAAATGCGGGTCTGCTGGGACCCGGGAGGGCTCTGGGACCTTGGCCCCGCGGGACTGGAAGGGCAAACACCTGGCACGATGCGTACTGGCCCTAGGAAGATGGCACAGCAAGGTGCTGGCAGTCCCTGGGTGGCGGTGGCAGGAAGGGCCCAAGGGCAACATTGCTTCAAGAGGTCGAGAAAAGGCGCCCGATATGTGGCCCCCAGGATGTGGAAGCTTGCTTGGAGCGTGCGGCTCCAGGGCAGCAGCGCGTGGAGGGCCTTAAGGATGCAGTACTTGCCCGGGGTAGGGGGGCAGGGGGCCTGGAGACAGCGGTGCGCTTAAACTTCCAGGGAAAGGCAGGAGACATGGCGCATGTGGTTCCCAGGATGTGGAAGCGCGTGGAGAGCGGCCCCGGGGCAATGGAGAGTGGGGTTTTAATATCCGGCACATGTAGACCCTGGGGCGCTGTTGCTTGGGGCCCGGACCCTGGACCACCGGCGCACTTGGACCGCGGGGAAAGCTGACAGGGCGCACCACCCGAGGAGGCTG